ATATATATATATATATATATATATATGTATATGCAGATTTAATAATTATGATCATGCATATTCAAGCATACTGTACTAAATGAGTTAATTTGGAAAATAAGTAATTGAAACTTTTGGTAAAATACGGTATATTGATATGCACTTTATGACTAATTTTTAGCAGAAAATTGAAAAAATAGATAAGAAAGACATACAAAGGTTTTAAGCATCGTGCAACTTCTAACAGTGCTTGTTTCCTGCGAGTTAGTGTTGCAAAATGATGCAAGACCGAAATCAGTAAAGCTGCGTCAATACTGTTTGATCTAAGATAAAGAAAGTAAGAGGTAATGTGCAAACGTGCAACGCTTTTGTTTTCGTTTCTAATAAGTGCGCATCCAAAACATTTTTTCCTGCTTGCATGAATATAAATATGTAAATATTTTGTGAAATAATAAAAAGATGCAAATGCTTGAATAAGTTTTTCTCGCCTATAAGGCAGATTTAAAGCATCAGCTAACTGCACGTCGACTGTTGCTGGCAGTCGAAGTTGAGTAAGAATTTCCAAGCAGATATCACAATCCATAAAAAAGCAATCATTTCTACAGTATTTTGCTTCGCCACAACCTCAAATAGACAAGACTTAAAAGTAAAAATGAAAAGTTATTGCAATGAAAAGATCAAATACAGCAAATCCAATCAAGATTGCTGATATGAATTATTCATTTGTAGTCAATAATATTTCAAACTTTTTATGAGTTATTATCGCGATATTTACACTGAATTAAGTTATCTCAAATACTGTTGTTTATACAAATTTTTAAATTAAATTATAAGTTGGAAAAATCAGTGAGATCAAATTAATCACTGAAATGATATTAGTCAGAATTTACTTGCCAATTATTCATCAAATGCTTCATCACTGATTATGAGCATCGTTAATGTATTTATCATTTAATAATTAATGAGATCATTATCATAAATACAACAGATATTTTTATTCAGTATTCACTATTCGTAATTAAAGTAGTATAGGAAAGAGAAAACTCGCC